ACTTCCCACATGAGAATAATCCCGCGAATCCGGCTTTGAGGGTTGGAGTTAGGTGTGGGCACGCCTACCTGTCAGGAAATCTTCTGGAATGTCGATTTTCAGCACCTTTCCTTCACCATTTCCTGCAATTAACACCAAATACAAAACCTGAGTAGAATCCCCCAAATAGTGCAATATTTAGTCAAAATAATTATGTAATATTAGCAAAATATCTCACTAAAATGCACTATATCAATCTCCTCCACACCTGAACTATGCTTGTCCTCAAGCATAATTAACTCAGAAGTGCAATTAAGATACCAAACAATTCACTCGCAACATATTCATCAGTTTAGGAATAGGGAATGTCAATAAAACCAAGAGCCAAATTAAATTCAGTGATGGACTGTTTGAACTCCCTACCCATCAATCTAAACCGAACCACCTTCGGAGTAGTAACCTAGAATTCAACAGGGACATTAAACTCAAAAGTGGCATAGAATTCATATGTTAACTCAGTGAAAGCAGGTAAAATAATAGAAACATAATTTGTCCAACTTATGGCGGTTAACCGCTTAGTGATCTCATCCCTGAGGTTTAAAAGCTCGAGTGTGGGGGTATGGATGAATTTACAAGGAATTATCTTCCTTGTACAGGCAGCGGCATACCGTTCCTTATCGGCAGCCCTGGTAAAGGTCAAATGGCCGCTAAAGTGGGTCGGAGAAGAGAGGTGAACCTCTCTATTCCTCCCAAGGTGGGTTCGGGGGCCTCCCGAAGCAGTCACTTGGGAAGGCCACTCAAAGGTACAGTTGATTGTGGGGTGGAGGTAGATGGTCTATTCTTATTTTTATCTTTTGGTTTAGCCATTCGACACTAGTAAACAGGGTAAGGGTAAGGTACAAATACTCAAAATAAGTCAACTGGCAGTCAATCAAACAAAGTGTCCCCAATCACAGATCCAAACACCGACAACTAAAGAAATAGACAATAAACACACCAAAACTAATTAAAACGACCAACACAGCAAAAACTTCTCCAAATACAACGATTTTAATACAAAATTGAGCAGATAGTCAAAAGTAGCCAAAGACAAGATCACAGCACCTCAAGTACGTACAAATTGTCTATCATCAGCTAAAAATTAAAATATCCGGCCTCAGCTAAAAATTAAAAATCTGTCTTCAGTTAAAAGTAACAGAAAATTAAAGAAAGAAAGAACCTAAGGTGGTAGCCGGTAGTAAGGATGATGGCAGTGGAGTTGCAGCGATGACACAGAGGTGGAGGAGGCGACGCACGCGCCACACACACACGGGCTGCTCGCGCTGGACTGCTGTTGGTCTACTGGTGTGCGCAGGGGAAGCTGTAGCGAGCCTGGGCTGCGCGGGTCAGACCAAGTGGGTTGGAGCACGCGAGCACGCTGGCTCGTGCTTGGGCAAGCTCTGGAGCTGGTTACGTACAGGTGGGACGCGCTGCTGGGGTGCGCGCTGAGACAGTTGCCCGCAAGCTGTTAGGCGCGTTGCAGTGCGCCTAGACTGCACCTGTGCGAGCGTGTTTGGTGCGCCGTCTGCGCTGCGCAGGAGCTGAGCTCACAGGGCGCGCCTGGCTGAGGAGAGACGCGCATGAAGAGGTCGCGCGCTTGGCTGCTGGGCGCGATAGGCAAAAGAGAGGTGCGCGCTGGAGTGGCGAGCTACGCGGTTGCGTGGCAGCGTGCGGTCAGGTGTAGCGGCGGTCGTGCGGTGGTGTGCTACGGTGGCCCGGAGTCTTTGACGGCAGACAGCGAAGGCGGTGGCGAATGGAAGAGAAAGAAAAGAAAGAAAAGGAAGAAAAAGAAAGAAGAAGAAGGAGAAGAAAGATGAAAGTAGGGCAACGAAATCTCTTCCCCCCCCCCTTTTTTTTTTGGTTTGAACATAAGTGAGGGCAATTTCGTCTTTTTTTTAGAGCATGAAGGAACCCCTGTGTTAGACATGGGCACGTCTAACTGCCACTAGTTTTCTGACCATTCGCCCGAAATTAAGATCGTTAAGCATGACCACCTGGAGTGGGCACGCTTAACTACTAGATAGTCTTCTGATAAATCTTCGAAAATTGACTTCTTTAAGCGTGACCACCTGGCGTGGGCACACCTAACTACTATAGAATCTTCTGACCGCAGATGAGAATTGCCTTCCTTAAGCGTGATCACTTGCCGTGGACACGCCTAACTACTGGAGAGTTTTCTGTCCATCATCTTTAAACTTCCTTTCTTAGACGTGACCTATTAGCGTGGGCACATCTAACTGCCAGCTCCTGTCACAGAAACAACAACTCACTAAATACAACTAACACTTAACAAAAACTCCATAAACACAAGAAAACTAAAACAAATAGCATTGGATTGCCTCCCAAGCTGTGCCTTTCTTTAACGTCTTTTGCTAGACTTGGCTGGAACTCTCAAACAAAATAAATTGGATCCTCGAGCTATATGAACTCGACCTCCTCCATCGAGAATCCTTCATAGTAAGGTTTGAAATGATGACCATTCACTACGAACTTTTTCTCCGTTTTCAAATTTTGGATCTCCACTATACCATAATGAAAAATATTAGAAACGACAAATGGACCAATCCAACGAGAACGCAACTTACCAGAAAAAAGTTTAAGTCTCAGTGAAACAAGAGGACTTTTTGCCCCACTACAAATGATTTTCTTGAGACTTGTTGATCATGAAAATTTTTGTTCTTCTCCTTGTAAATCATTGCATTCTCGTATGCCTCATTCCTAATCTCCTCCAGCTCTTGTAGCTACAATTTCCTATGGACCCCGGCTTCCTCAAGATCCATATTGCACTGTTTTACTGCCCAGAATGCCCTATGCTCGAACTCCATTAGAAGATGGCAAGCCTTATCGAAGACTAGTCTATACGGGGACATCCCAATCGGCGTTTTATACGCGGTGCGATAAGCCCATAGTGCATCTTCCAATTTCAAGCTCCAATCCTTTCTATCAGGATGCACCATCTTCTCCAAGATTGACTTGATCTCCTTGTTCGACACTTCGGTTTGACCATTTGTCTGTGGATGGTATGGCGTAGATACTTTGTGGAGTACGCCATATTTGCGGAACAGGGCAGCAATAGTTTTATTACAAAAATGTGTCCACATATCACTCACTACAACTCTCGGCATCCCAAAGCGGACAAAGATATTAGACTATAAAAACTCTGCAACCACTTTAGAATCTTTAGTTCGAGTGGATTTTGCTTCCACCCACTTAGAAACATAGTCAACGACAAGTAAAATGTATAGAAAACCAAAAGATGAGAGAAAAGAACCCATGAATTCTATACCCCAAACGTCAAAAATTTTAACAAACAACATGGGGGGTTTGAAGCATTTGGTCCCTATGGAAAATATTTCTCACTCTTTGACACTTATCACAAGTTTTACAGAATAAATACGCATCTTTAAATGGGTGGGCCAATAAAAATCACTCTCCAACACCTTACGAGCTGTTCGCTTTGGTCCAAAGTGCCCTCCACATGCAAACGAATGACAAAAAATTAAAATGGAGTGAAATTCACCTGCATTTACAAACCTTCTTAGCACTTGATCCGAATATTGCTTCCAAAGGTAGGAGTTGTCCCAAATGTAATATTTGGCATCATTTTTCAGTTTGTCTCTCCTAACCTTTGGCCAATCTGCAGGTAATTGATTAGTTACTAAGAAATTTATAATATCAGCATACCAAGGTGCAGACGAATCAACGGCAAGTAGTTGCTCCTCTAGAAACGTCTCTCTCAATGGCTGCTCCTCCTTATTTGTAAGCAAGCGGCTCAAGTGATCAGCCACCAAGTTCTCTGTCCCACTTTTATCTTTAATTTCCAAGTTGAACTCCTGCAAGAGCAGGATCCATCTGATGAGTTTTGGTTTTGCATCTTGAACTTCATTCAACGCATTCAATACATAGTAAATTGCATGCGCCTGCCAATCCTCTGCCCCAACACTGCTCCCACTGCGTAATCACTCGTGTCGCACATTATTTCGAATGGGAGGCTCCAGTCGGGGGGTTGAATGACGGGTGGTGATGTCAACGATTCCTTCAATTTATCAAATGCCATTTTGCATTTATCGGTGAAGTCAAATGCTATATCCTTTTGCAACAATTTGAACAAGAGTGCTCCAATCTTTGAAAAGTCCTTGATGAATCTCCTATAGAATCCTGCATGACCCAAAAAGGAACGTACTTCCCGTACACTTACGGGATAAGGTAAAGCAGAAATAAGGTCGACTTTTGCTTTATCTACCTCTATTCCCTTAGCCGACACTACATGTCCTAAGACGATACCATACTCCACCATAAAGTGGCATTTTCTCAGTTGAGGACTAAATTTGTGTCTATGCACCTTTTTAAAATCAAAGCTAGATTGTTAAGGCATTCATCAAAACTATCCCCATATACACTAAGTCATCCATGAACAGCTCAATAATCTTTTCTACATATTTGGAGAAGATACTTACCATGCACTTTTGGAAGGTCATTGGAGCATTACAGAGGTCGAAAGGCATCCTACGGTTGGCGAAAGTACCAAATGGGCAGGCGAACGTGGTTTTCTCCTGATTCTCCGGTGCTATCGTGATCTGGAAGTACCCTGAAAAATCATCCAAAAAATAGTAATAAACATGACCGGCCAACCTCTCTATCATCTGATTAATAAAAGGGAGAGGGAAGTGGTCCTTTTTCGTTACAGCATTCAATCTCCGGTAGTCGATACACTGGCGCCATCCTATGGGTTTCCTTACTGGAACCATCTCGCCTTCCTGGTTCTCTTCTATAGTTACTCCCGTCTTTTTCGGGACTACTTGAACTGGGTTCACCCACGGGTTGTCTGAGATGGCGAAGATGATTCCCACCTCCAGGAGTTTAAGTATCTCCTTCTTAACTACTTCCATCATCAGTGGGTTCAATCTTCGTTGCGCCTGTCTCACCAGCTTCACATCATCTTCGACTCGTATTCGGTGCATGCATAAGGACGGACTGATTTCTTATATGTTTGCTATACTCCATCCAATCACCTCTTTATGATCTCGAAAAAGTCGAACCAGATTGTCTTCTTGACTCAGCGATAGGTGTGCAGAAATGATCACCGGTAGTATTTCTTTGTCCCCGAAAAATGCATACTTCAAATGTTTCGAGAAAGGTTTGAGCTCCAGCTCGGGTACCTCCACAACAGAAGGCAATAACTTTTTCTGAGTTTCTGGTACAAAGAGAGAAGTAACCTCATACCTTGAAGAAATTGGTGGGAGCAAATACATTGCTACAACCACACGGTACAACTCATTACTTATTTCCACATTAAGAGTTGCTCCCAACTCAAGATGTTTGGCCAAAACCACTCTCAGTGCATCCTCCCCATCCAATTCGAAAGTTTCCTGTACAAGGGGTTCAATAACACTCTAAGCAAAAACAGAATTAGATTCCTTCGGGTATTTCATCGCATAAAAAATATTAAAATTTACAATTTTTCCATCAAACTCCATTGACAAAGTGCCCTCGTTCACATTTATTTTTGTCCTAACAGTGCTTAAAAATGACCTACCTAACAAAATAGGTGACAGATTTAATGACCTTTCATCCCCCATGTCTAGGACATAAAAATCTCCTGGGAATACTAACTTATTGACCTGCACCAAAACATCTTCAACTAACCCCTCTGGATAAGCATTGGTACGGTCCGCTAGTTGGATTATGATGCTTGTGCCTTTTTATGGTTCAAGATTTAGAGAAGCATAAATAGTTTTAGGCATTACGTTAATCGACGCCCCTAGATTCAACATTGATTTCTTAATTGGAGTATCTCCTATTTTACATGGAATTATGAATATACCTGGGTCTCCACACTTTGGAGGGAGTTTCCTTTGGAGTATGGCCAACACATTTTCTCCCACCTCCACTCTTTCATCACCCCTTAGCTTTCTTTTGTGGGTACACATATCCTTCAAAAATTTTGCATATTTTGGTATCTGCTTAATGGCATCCAACAAGGGAATATTGATCTCCACTTTCCGGAACACATCCAGAATTTTTTTTCCTTCTCTGCCTTCTTTGTCTTTTCCAACCTGCAAGGAAAAGAAGGTAAGTTAGATTTAATAGGAGCTAAAGGATAAATGTTACCTTAGGGTCTTCGCGAATGCGCCCTTCTTCTTCAATCTCCTTTTTTATCTCTTCCTCACTTTTGCTTTTTGAATTTGTCAACTTAGGCCCCTCCACTTCCTTGCCACTTCTCAGTGTCATGGCACTTACATTCTTGAAATTTGCCTCGGGTTGCGATGGTAATTTTCCAAAAACGTGAGACTCCAGGCGATTAATGGCAGTTGCCATGTGACTTATTTGAGTCTCCATATTTTTCATACCCGATCTAGTTTTCTTTTGAATTTAAGCAGTACTTATGGCTAGGCTCTTACAATGTCTGCCAAAGAGTCTCCTGAATCTGCAGACGAAGGTTGAGACTTTGCTTGCCATGGTTGCTGAAATCCTGGAGGACGATTCACAAATGAATTCTGCGGCTTGTTCCCGTAGCTGAAGTTAGGATAGTCTCTCTAACTTGGATTGTACGTGTTGGAGTACGGGTCATACTACCTACGGGGCGCGGGCACGTCTCCTGCCATGTTTACTTGTTCAACTCCATCTTCTTGCAAAATGGAACATGTGTCGGTGGAGTGGTTCATGCTTGTACAAATTCCACAGACCTCCGCTCGCTACGCATTCTTCACAGCTAATTGCCGAGCAAAAGACGTCAACTCCGATAGTTGCTGTTGAATGGATAACGTCTCTACCTCGTTAACCCTACGAGTAGGCAGTGGGAGAGGGTTACTCTCACGGAAGCCAAATTGCTGAGAATGTTTTGCCATTGCTTCAATAAGCTCCCATGCTTCTCTCGTGTCTTATTTGCCAGTGCTCCTCCACTCGCAGCGTCAATAATACTTCTGTCCGATATTTGCAGCCCCTCATAGAAGTATTGGATCAATAGTTGTTCACTAATTTGATGCTGAGGGTATTTAGTGCACAACTTATTGAACCTTTTCCAATAGTCATACAAAGATTCCTCGGAGTACTGCTTGATGCTGCATATCTCTTTCCTCAGACTTGCAACCCGGGATGCAGGGAAAAATTTTTAAAAAAAATTTCTTTTTCAACTGGGCCCATGTTGTGATACTACCTGCGGGTAGGTAGTATAGCCAGTCTTTCGTTGCATCCTTGAGAGAGAAAGGGAAGGCTCTGAGTTTAATTTGCTCTTCGGTAACCCAGGAGGTTTTATGCTAGAGCATACCACTTCACCAGAGAGACCATAGAATGAGGGTAAGAGGTGAATTAACCCTGATTTTAGCTCGAAGGAAGTGTTCCCCGTCAGAGTTGGGAATGTAATGCACAAAGGCTGGTGGGTCAACTCCGGGGCAGCCAACTCCCTTAGTGTTTAGTTATTGGTAATGCTAATTTCGTCTTCTACTGACTCATTTGCAGTAGATGACTGCCCTTCCTTTTGTCTCTTGGTCTCTTGTTTTCGCCTACACGCTGGCTTCTCCACCTCAGGGTCATATATCAATTCACCTGTGCGAGAAGAACGGGACATAAACTAGCAAAAATATCAAAAATAAACTGAATTAAAAAAAAAACAAATAATTCCAGCGCCAGTCCCCAGCAACGGCACCAAAAATTGACAGTGCCGAACCTATGCGATAATAATAATAAAACCTACTGTCACCAAAAGCAGTCCATAATCAATTCTAAATACTGGAGCAGGGACTCTAGATATGCAATGGGTTACTTAATTCACCCTATTTCCGAAGAGTTTGCTTAATCCGATATACCATAATTAATTAACTGACAAAATTGACTAACTAGTAGACAGTGACAAGTAGGGTCGTCTCCTCAGGGACTGGGAAAAAGTTCGTTTCCTTTCGAGTCAAGACAAATCGGGGAATTTAGGATTAATAACTAAATAAATTAAATGAAAAAAATAATTAATTGAAAGAAATAATTGGGAAAACTCTAGCCAACGGTACACTTCAGAGATGGTTCATGCAACTGATCATCGATTCAAATATAATTCCAACATTCATTAATAGATTGGTTATAACTGTCATACACGCGATACACAACCAACTTTTCCTTATTTTTTCGATAGTCAAGGTACGACCGTTAACTATTTCTCTAACCAAGAAATAACCCTAAGTATGACCGTACGATTTAATTTCTAGATTGTATTAAAAATTAGAAAAACCCAATCCTAACTAACAAACACGCTACGAGGGTTTGTTTAAATTAGATCGTATGTTTTCCTGACATAAACCCAACTACGCCAGCTGCTACCGGGATGGAGGTAGTCGAACAATTACGGATTCAACTACCCCCAATTAGCAAAATAGATTACGTGAATAATTAAATATTACGCAGTATTCAATCATACACACTAATTAAAACAATTAAAAACAGAAAACATATAAATACCAATAAATGAAGGAAACAGTTAAAATAATTTAGATCTCACAGTAATTGTCGAACCAAATCTTCAGTTGTCCCCTTGACTAGAATTAGGATATTAGTTCTCCATTAATGTAGAACACGCCATGTAAAGCAATTGAGGAAAAACCGTCAACTCTTGTCTCCCTAAATTCGGTCATCAGAGGAAGAAGAACAAGAAAATATCGTTGATTTCTATTGTCCCTAACAAAAGCATAAAAAGAGACTGATGATCTCTGCAATTCGGTCAAACCAAAGAAGAAAAAAAAATGAGACCAAGTCAACAATTGTGGCTTGTTTTGTTTGTTTCCTCCCAATTGTGCTATGAAGCAATAAGTCAAAGACCAAAGAGTCGTACAATTGTCTCTTCTCTGCGTTTTTAGCCTCCCAAAAGAGACGGTTCCTAGAATCTCTCCCGTTTCCTACTTTTTCTCCTAATTCCTTGGTATCCGAATACCAATTACTTCCTAAATAGCAATCCTATTACAATTCAACTTCTTCAGCTCTTGTTTTCCTTTGGAGTGACCCTACTGCTTCCCTAGTTTGTAGCCAACTACTTCACTCAATTTTTGAAACTTCCCACGTGACAATAATCCCATGAATCCGGATTTGAGAGTTGGAGTTAGGCGTGGACACACCTAACTGTCAGGAAGTCTTCTAGAATGTCAATTTTCAGCACCTTTCCTTCACCACTTCCTGCAATTAACACCAAACACAAAACCTGAGTAGAATCCCCCAAATAGTGCAATATTTAGTCAAAACAATTATGCAATATTAGCAAAATATCTCACTAAAATGCACTCTATCAATTACAGTTGGGATAGCGCCACACTTGTTTGTTTATACTCCCGTTTCTGCAAAATTTCGTAGGCGTTAGGTGACAATAAAGCAACTTTGGGATGCTTGAGCATCTTTATTTCAATAGAATACATAAATAATATGACTTGGACAATGTTTCTATTTTTAACAGTTATAAGCGTGGGAAAGGATGCCCAGAATTTAACTGACCGTGTTGGTTCCCGGTGCATAGGGAAACGAATTTCTCAAATGTGGTCGCTGGACAAATAGTCGTATGACGAAATACATGCTCTCGCATGTTGTATCCTCATTTTGTGATCAGCTAATTAAGAAAGACGTCGATGAGGTACACAACTGATGAATGTTGCTACTATAGTGTCAGTCTGATTGTTTCATTTTCTGATTGATATAGTTTACTTGGGAGTCTTATTTTGCCAACCTTATTACACATCTTTCTGCCTATTGCTCAGCCGGACAACACATATGGTGGTCATTAGTTCCATTGATATATTGAGATTGTCGAATTTCACTTTCTCCAGTAGGTACTATGACAGTTTAGGATGCATTAGCCGATACCTGAGTATGCTCACACAGATACAAACAAAAAACTGCATTCTTTGTGTTAATCAGACCATGTCGAGAAGGATTAGGCCCAATACTATAGTTATTAGGCTCATTACTGGGATCATCATACTAAATCATATGTTCGAGGCCATCGACGCAATCCAAATAGGTTTATGGCTAATTATATGACATGGTACCAAAATTGCATTGTCCGCTACATTACATCTCCTGTTTCACAACAGCCTCGACATGACAGTCATCAAGGAGATGGGGGACAGTTTGACTACTTAGTAAATTATTACATATTTATCTTTTCTTCTAACCATATGCTAATTTTTCGTCAAATAACATAGGAAATGACAATAATATTCAAAATCTTCTTTTTTACAAGTTGATTTTGTGTTTCGGATCGAATCAAATTTTTTTTGTAATTTTTGTTTTACGTAATATCAGATTTTAGGGTTTACGGTTTAGGGTTTATGGATACAAAAATTAAAAATGTATATTTTAAATTTAAAAAATGTTTGCCTTATCCAGCTAGGATGCGGCGATGATAAAAAGAAGTTTCACCGTAAGTCATATGGCATGCAACCACTGAGTTTTGGCTGAATGGCCGACCAAGTCCCTCTTTGCCCTATAAGTCAGGGGTTGGAACCCTACATGCAGTGAAAAAAATTCAAAGGAGGTGCTAGAACTGTAGACACCAAATTTTTTATTTTTTAACTTCATTTGTTTAATTAATATAATAGGTTTATTTGTTTCAATTCTAGGGTTTTTATTTTTATTTTATTTCATTTTGTTCTAGTTTATTTTTTATTTTGTCTTCCTACCAAATTTCAGAAAACAAAAGAAAAAGGGAAAAAGAGAAAAAGGAAGAAAAAGAGTGAAAATGACAAGTGGGGAGGCATGCATTTGGACAAGTGTCTCTTTGATATTTGAGACAACTAAGCACCTAAGGGGTGAGGTGTTAGGGGACACTTGGTAAGTTTAAGGAATTTTTGGGGGAAAGAAAATGAAAAAGAAAAAAGAAAAGATGGGGTGTTTAGGGCCGAAAGAGAAAGAAAGCAAAAGGGGTTTCGTAAAAAAAAATGAAAGAAAGCTAAGGAAAGGGCCAGAGGAAAAAGCTTCAGGCGGCGGAGAAGCAAAGAAAGAAAAATAGAAGGGAGTAGCGGCAGGGGTTTAAAAAAAAATATGAAGAGCTAGCGAGGACAACAGAGGAGGAGACCGAGGGAGTTTTGTTTGAGGGAAAGACAACGGAGCAGAAAAAAAAGAGAAAACGCTAGAGGAAAGGCTAGGGAAGATCGAAGGAGCTTCGCGAGAGGAAAAGACAGAGGAATGGTGACTAAGCTCTAGAGAACGGCTAGGGTTTTAGGGAGGAAAGAAAGGAAACTAAAACAGAGAAAAGAGAGGGACAGCTGAGAGCTTAGACAATCGGACGACTGAGAAAGAATGAAGAAAGGGGAAAGCAACGGCTGAAGGTGAGGGCTTCGGACAAAAAA